CCCCCAGGTAAGGCAGAGAGTACAGCCCCCCAAAGGGCTTGCAGAAAAACGGCTGCGCAACTGCAGGAGAGCAGAGCCAGGAAGGGCACTGTCAGCTCTGCCAATTCCCCAATCCTCTGCTGCACACCCTACGTTCCCCAGGGGAAAAGCTCATGTGAACCATCTGGGCAGAAGAAATCCCCACTGTTCCACAGCCTGCTGTGGGACAGAGAGGTGACAGGAGGGCAGCAGGAGAGGGGGAACATGCTGGGAGGAGATCCCAGAAGCTGTAGAGGTGGGGATTAACACCTTCACTTGAACCTCTTCAGGCTGTAGAACAGAAAAAGCACATGCTCAAAATGGGCACACTGCTCCCCCAGCCTGTTCCCACAGTGCCTGGACCAGCCAGGGCAATGCACTCAGACACCAGCAGAATCCACAGCGCCAGTGTGCAGCTGCAGGAGGGGAAACAGAGATGGCCCAGGATGCTAGAGGAGTCAATGGATAGGAAGTTAATTCTACCATGTGCTTCTCTTTTCCAAACGCCTCCTGCTGGCTAACAGGGCAAATACAGGCAAAAGAAAAAAGATTGCACAGTTACCAAGCTCCCTTTAGCCAATGCATCCAAAATGAAGAGAGGGAGATAAAATCTGTTACGTAGGTTAGATATCCCCTAGGTAATTTAGAAGTGAGAGCTGAATCAACACTTGCTAAGCAACAACTTGCAGCGCTCTCTGCAAATGCAAGGTGGGAGACATTCATCACCTCAAGACTCAACAGAAAAGGGCCAAACTCACTCCAAGAGGCTCAAGCATGCTAAGAGCAACTACATACATGGCTGATTACCAACAGCCAGTCAACATGAGCTAATTTATCCAACTGCCAAGATCCAAAGCAGAACATATCTACTTTTTCAATTCAATTTCTATGTGGGATATGATGACTGGGAAGAGCCTTACACAGAAGTGAAATAGAGCCCATGCTTCTACCAAAATCAGTGCTACCAAGAAAAAAAGGCAACTTCTAACCAAGTTTGTTTTAACTTAGCCACTTCAAACTGACATGCAGTTAAGTCTTTAGCTACAAGATGTAGAAGTCATTAAAGAAGCCATCTTTTCAACTGGCATGCAAGAATATTTTTAAAGTGGACAACTAACTGCTGATCTCAAGCATATTCTGTCTCTTGCAGCAGTTAAATCCAAATCACTCTACCCAAAAGATGTCCTACAAGATCACAGGCATGATAAAAGAGTTACTTTAACAGGTTTCGCTGGCCAGAGTTGTGTCAGATGCTGAATAAGAAAGGGGTATCTGAAGTCTGGATTTTCCCTTTTATCTTCTCCCAGTACAAGGGCAATGTCAAGGGATTCTAGGAGATTCCACAGACGTTTTATGAAAACAGTTCATTTAATGCTCATCTTGCCTAAAACTGAATGGTATGAATTTAAAAAAATTGTTGGCATGTTAATGCTTTTAAAAATCCACAACCCTTATTTAAGGTGATCTGAGGGTGACTAAAGCAGCTTCATTTCAGAGAGATTCTATGTTCTTATTCTGGCAGTTTGTTCAGTTAATTCAAACACGCATGTTTGACAGCCACAGTTTAAATCAAATTTTATGCTTTTTATATCATGACTTTTATTACATCATGACAGAAATCTATGATTCAAAAATACTCCATGCAACCACAAGTCACATAATTACTTAACCAGCTCTACATGGTGATACAAACTAAAAGCTCATAGTGCTTTCTAAATCCAACCTGCTAGTTGCTATATGCTTAGCCATATAAAGATCACCACTCAAAAATATGCCACAGCAGAATCAGAAAGAGATGATACAGCCACACACATGCATCACATAATCTCACCTGTGTCTAGATTAAAGCTCTCTCTCAGACTAGATTCTTTTTCCTGAGCTGCAGAATCTTCCAACTGGTCTCCAATGCCAATAATCACCAACATGTGCCAACGTATCCAGTAGGTCCGACCTGTTGACCGCCATAAAACCTGTGTGTGAAACAGATCTAGATGATCAGATTTGCTCAATCATTCAATCCTCATGCTACATCTGCCCTCCCATTTCCCAAATGCATGGAAATAGCAAGCACTGTTCAAGTAGAAGAACACCTAATTCATATACAGATTTCAACACACACATTGTCTAATTTTTAAGCATATCATCTTTATTAACTTGCTCCCCTGGTTACACCTGGATCTTCATTAAAAAAAAACCACAAACTTTGCCTGCAACCACTACATATCTCATCTAATACAGCAGTGACAGGAGTGCATCTAGTTAAGCATGACCATTCCAAGACTGCCCAGCAGCAGGTGCCTTGGGAAAAGCATACAAAGGAATAGCTCAACCAACACTACCTCAAGGCAGATGAGCTGCAGATAAAGGGTCTTGAGGCACAAACCACTTGGCGAATGTAATTGTAAAGAAAACTATTTTTTCTACTCTGACTTTACCTTCTACTGGTTATACTTTTGCACTTTGTTCATTCACCAATCCTCTCAGACAGGTTTTGGGCTCTCAAAGGTGGCAATTGTTTCCTGTGCTTTGTCCAAGTTGCCTCTCAAAATCAAAATGATTTTTTTTTACGGCTTCCCATACCATAGTTTTACATTTAACCTGAGCAGAAGGAGGACTCAGCAATAGCAAGTACAACATGTCAATAACTTAAAAAAAACAGCAGAAAAACGTATGGGTTGCCTGATTCACTGAGCTCTTTTGGAGTTACACCAATGCTACTAGGACTCCATTGTGCTCAAGAGCTAGAGACAAGATGCTGAAAGACTTTAAGAAAGCACTATATGGAAGGAAATTGAGTTAAACTCTACACATAACAGCAATTAGTCTTCGATGAATCCCTGACCTAAACTAGTTATGTACCAAATATCATCTCAAATGAATCATGGAAATAATTGACTGAAGGACAAAGACACAACAGTGAAACTTTTTCTTTGGAGAGGCAAAGAAAGCAACAGAAAACAGAGCAACCAAGGAAAGATGAGAGGAGGTAAGAGACAGACTTGTGATGGACTGGCCCCAACCAAAAATGCACATGAATTTGCATTTTGCACACAGAAGACTGACAGCAAGCCTCAGGCAGGATGAGCTGCAAAAGCAGAACTAATTGAAAAGGAAAATATCAAAATTTTAACAAAGACCAGGGAGAAGCAGTTCTTGTAACTTGAACTCACTAGTCACCAGCAGGTAAACTGTCAATACAAAGCAAGCGTGATACACAAGATAAGAAAGAGGACCAGCTACACAAATAAAGTTTCCCTTCAAAGAAAGATTGATGGCAAAGGCCCGGAAGAGCAAGAGATGACATCAAGAGATGTCATTACAAAGATGATTGAGATGTCAGATTCCTGGTATCTCCCTGTGGAGAAAAAACCTCATTGAATGGTTTGAGTCACAAGTTTCTCACATAACACTTGGGGGACTGCTACAGACACATATACAGATATGAACATAAAGAGCAGGGTAAAAATTAACACCCCCAAAGACTGCATGTACATTCCCAACTTCCTAGACAGACTAGAGGGCAAGGAACACTAATAGTGGCAGAAATTAGGTACTTCCAAATATAACAGCCAAACTTCTTCACTGAATATTTATTACCACTTAGATCTGGTTTTGCCAGTAGTGTGAGCCTTACACAAGATTGCTACTGAAAATAAGCCTGGATGGAGCAATTGCAAGTTCATTCAACCTAATTAAATAGAAAAATAGACAGTAGAAGGAACCCAAGGGACCAACTGAACAAAGGGAAGGGAAGTTAACAGTACACTTCAGCTCAACAGTGAATAAAAAAAAAAGCCTCTGAAATTTATATCACAGGCAACAGGAGAAAAATGTGAAAGTATCTTGGTGCTCTTTCTAAGTGCCCAGTTACATAAAGAGTAAAGGCAAGTACAAGCTTATAAGGAACAGAAAATAGAATTTTAGAAAAACACAGATCTTTGAAATCAAGGAGAATAAGGACAAAGAGAGAATCAGTAGGAAACATATTTCTTTTACAATTTATCTTTACAGACTGGGTTATAATAGACAAAAGGTTTATCAACCAAAGTTTATCAAAAGTAAGATTAAATTCAGGGGCCTGCAATTCAAAATCACCTATGCATGGTCCAAAACTAGAAAAGTGTTTTATTTGAATACTGAGTAAACACAGAGGAAAGCAAAGCAAATTGGTAACGGGTAGAGGGATACAAATCCAGAAGTTGCCACAAGTGACAGAGAAGCAAAATTCAGTTTGGAGGAGAGAGATGAAAGACATGCCAAGTAATCTGCCAGAAGCACAGTTGGAAAGTTGGAAGGATTTCGGTTATTCGGTGGTGTTGCCATGTGACTGATGAACACTAAAGCCAGTGCTTCTCATTTGAGAAAAAAAAATTATTAAATAAGTCATCACTACGGTGCTCCTACTTTGACTTCAGTAGTATGAAAACCTTTAAAGCATATTTTAGTGGAAAGAGCAACTAAAGGCATTCAAGATAAACAATAAATTTCAATTAACAGGTAAACTTGCTTCAAGTTTCAATTCTGCCAGGTAAGACGCATTAGCTTTCTTTGCTAAGTAACTGATTTTGTAGATTAAAAAAAAAAAAAAAAGACTTATTTCAATTGTTAACTTCAGTAAAGCACAGGGGATCAAACAGTAAATTATTAAACAACAGAAGAAAGTAGAGGAACTGTGGGCAAGAAATCTGCTCAACAGAACCCAAGAATTTAGGAGTATGAAGGGGAAAGAATGGGACTAGAAAAAAGTGCAAATAAGATGGGCAGGACATATCTGCACAGCACATACTGTCCTAACAGTTACACTCTCCCAATACAAGCACATACTGATAATACCGACCACCAAACAAACAGATAAGGCTGGAAACATCCTTCTTGCACATGCACATTTTGGGGCATTTTAGGCTGCTGGCTTAAATTACATCTGTAAGAAGTACTCCAAAACTAGAAGACAGTTAAGGAGCCTGGACCAGAGTAAGTTAAACTTACTGCAAGGCAACTGGAAGAATTCATCCTAAAACCAGTTCTCACTGAATAAACAGAAGAGTATCAGAAGGAAGAAGCAGTCTGCAACTGGCTGAGGAAAAAACCCAAAAGAATATTCACACAATTTTCCTGTGCACAAGAAAGCAAAGAGACACCATAGGAGAAAAGAAGTAAGTCAGTGTTTGGTGTTCTTAACTGGCTAATTTGTATTTGGCTATAAATGAAAACAACAGCATTACACAAAATAAAATGAGCTATAGTCCAAGAAGGCTAGGGAATCTCGAGCTTAACAAAAGATGAAAGATTTAAAAGACATGGTCTTCAAAAATACAGAAGATAATGTCAAATTCTCTACCTCCTCTCTGGAAAGGATGCTAATGAACTTTAAGTTACAGCAAGAGAGATTTGGTAAGAAGCTAGGAAGACATGCGTTTCTACAAATAGCAGAGCGAGGCTTTTTAGCTATTGATTTCTGAATATCAGCAACACAGAGCTTTGCACTAGCATGGCACTTAGGTTTATTCACAGGCCATCTATCACAAATCAGCTTGAAGTTGGGAAGACTTTGAGCATAGGCTGAAGTGGCACCTGACGTACAGCTATGACCAGCTGAAGTGGCCTCGGACTCCTTATTTATCATCTGCAAAACCAAAGCATGCACTTTTGCAAATTACTTGGGGAAAACCAAACCAAACTCACAATTGCACACACTAACATGTGTGCAGTGGTTACAGTTACTCATTTTACTAGTTACTATCACAATTTACTAAAGATTTCATGAACTGAGTTATATAGCCTTGTTTGCAGCCAACACAATGGTGGACTGAGCAGAGACAACCCTCTATATATGGATGACAGCCAGCTAAAGCTTTATTTTTAAGAGAACAGAAATTGTACCCCTACCTGCAGTGTTCGGGAAGCTCAAAAGCATGGCCAAAGTGCAAGACCAGCAGACACCCTCCAGAACTAACTATACATAGATTAGCAACGCACAAAGCCCACCAGCTCCCTGCTGCATAGTCAAAACAAAACCTCAGCTCTCACTGAACATGCCCAGCCTTCAAGACTGAGAAGAAAGTCTCAAGAAAAAGGTCTAAGAAGGAGCGAACAATCCCGAGTGCCCCCATAAGGGCTGGAACAGCACTCATATGCTCTCCCACCCCCAGGCCTGAGTCCAAGCCCAGCACTGAGTCCAGCCCTCCCAGCACTGACTCCACTAGCAGGATGTTCTGGGAAAGGCAAGTGCAGAATGCCTTAGGCTGAGAATTAGAGATCAAGTGAACAAAGGGAACCCTGTGGGTAGCGTTTACTGCAGGCTGCCCAACCAAGGGCCACACAGCCTTCTTACTCCAGCTGAAGGAAGGATTGTGCTTGCAGGCTCCCATCCTGATGGGGGACTTCAGTCACCCTGACATCTGCTGGAAAAGTAGCAGTGAGCTGCTGGCAATCCAGGAGACTCCTGGAGTGCACTGAGGATAGCTTCTTAGGCCAGGTAATACACAGCCCTACCAGAGGAGATGCATTACTGGACCTTTTGGACACCCACACAAGTGAGCTAATTACAGACATTAAGACTGGAGGCAGCCTGCACTGCAGTACTGGTGGAGTTCACAGTCCTGAGGAATACGGGACAGGCGAAGAGTAAAGTCAGGACCCTGAAACTTAGGAAAGCAAAATTCCAGATGTTCAAGGAGTTAGTCAATTGGACTCCCTAGGAAACTGCGCTCAGGGACAAGGGAGCCGAATAGAGCCGGCAAACCTTTAAGGACGCTTTCTATAGAGCATAAGACCTCTTGATCCCCAGGTGTAAGAAATCAGGAAAGGAAGGCAAGAGACTGGCATGGATGAGTCATGACCTGCTAGTCAAAAACTAAAGGGCAAGAAGGAAATTGAATGCACAGGCAGTGGAAGCAGGGACAGGGATCCTGGGAAGAGTATAGGGACATTGCCTGGTGGTGTAAGGATGGCATCAGGAAGGCCAAGGCACAGCTGGAGCTGAACTTAGCAAGGGACACTAAGATTAGTAAGTGCTTCTGTAGGTATGCCAGCCAGATAAGGAAGGTCAAAGAAAGTGTATCCCCCTGATGAACAAAACTGGCAAACTAGTAACAACAGACAAGAAGACTGAGATACTCAACAACTTTTTTGCCTCAGTCTTCACAGGCAATGTCCCCACAACTCTTGAGTGGATGGACCTCAAGCCAGGGACCAGGAGAGCAAAGTCCCTCCCACTGCAAAAGAAGATCAGATCTGAGACCACCTGAATGTAATGGACCTCACCTTGAGCTGACTGTCTCAAAGCTTGTTTACAGCTCCGTCAAGTGCCCCTGCAAGGCTCCTGGGCAGCCTGGCTGGGCCACACCGCCTCGGGGGAGGGTATGTCCAAACACGAGCAACCCCCTCCACCTGCCGAAGCACAGACATGCCACTGCGACTGATCATGACGCAGTGGCCACGTGCACTTTGCGGGACCAAGCGCGCCAAAACAGAGAGCATGAGCAGGAAGGCAGTAGAATCATAGAATGTTTTGGGTTGGAAAGGACCCCTAGAGGTCATCTAGTCCAACCCCCCTGCAGTGAGCCCGGACACCACTAACTAGATAAGGTTGCTCAGAGCCCCATCCAACCTGGTACATGCCATTGCCTAAGAAACAACCCCCCCTCCAAATGCCCTGTAGAAGATGGTGCGCCCAAACGGCAAATGGGACCCTCACCACCAGAGTACATGAAGACTATGGACCGACGGGATGCCGCTGTATCCACAGTGGAGACCATCTTTTGCGACCCTATCCTGACTGCTTGCTAGATTTCCATCTTTTCTATTTTTCTCTCCCATCGTTACTTTCTTATAAGTACTTAGTTGAGATAAGTGATCAGCAAAGGCCTTCGATTAGTGGCATTTGACCTCATTTGTGTCTTAATCTCACTCTGGGTATGACAACAAATCTCCCTGGCCCAGGCCTTCCTGGATCAGAACACTGAGGAACCTGGACATATGTAAGGCTATTGGACCTGATGAGATGCATCAGAGTCCTGAGGGAATTGGCTGATGTAGTTGCCAAGCCACTCTCCATGACATTTGAAAAGTCATGGCAGTCAGGTGAAGTCCCCAGTGGAAAAAGGGGAAACATTGCCCCCATTTTTAAATGGGGTAGAAAGTAGGACCCTGAGAACTACTGACCTGTCAGCCTCACCTCTGTGCCTGGGAATATCATGGCACAGATCCTCCTAGAAGCTATGCTAAGGCACATGGAGGACAGGGAGGTGATTCAAGACAGGCAGCATGGCTTCACCAAGCCTAAGTCCTGCCTGATGAACCTAGTGGCCTTCTGTGACAGAGCAACTACATCAATGGACAAGGGAAGAGCTACTGATGTCATCTATCTGGACTTCCATAAGGCATTTGACATGGTGTCCCATCACATCCTTCTCTAAATGGGAGAGATATGGATTTTATGGACAGACTATTTGGTGGATAAGGAATTGGTTGGATGGTTGCATCCAGAGAGTAGTGGTCAACAGGTCAATGTCCGGATGGAGCTCAGTGATGGGTGATGTTCCTCAGGGGTCCATACTGGGACCAGTACTGTTTAATATCTTCATCAGTGACATAGACAGAGGGATCTAGTGTACCCTCAGCAAGTTTGCAGATGACACCAAGCTGAGTGGTGTTGTTGACGTGCTTGAGGGATGGGATGCCACCCAAAGGGACCCGGACAAGCTCGAGAAGTGGGCCCACTTGAACCTCCCGAGGTTCAACAAGACCAAGTGCAAGGTCCTGTTGAACCTCCCGAGGTTCAACAAGACCAAGTGCAAGGTCCTGTTGAACCTCCCGAGGTTCAACAAGACCAAGTGCAAGGTCCTGTTGAACCTCCCGAGGTTCAACAAGACCAAGTGCAAGGTCCTGTTGAACCTCCCGAGGTTCAACAAGACCAAGTGCAAGGTCCTGTTGAACCTCCCGAGGTTCAACAAGACCAAGTGCAAGGTCCTGTTGAACCTCCATCTTCATCAGTGACATAGACAGAGGGATCTAGTGTACCCTCAGCAAGTTTGCAGATGACACCAAGCTGAGTGGTGTTGTTGACGTGCTTGAGGGATGGGATGCCACCCAAAGGGACCCGGACAAGCTCGAGAAGTGGGCCCCTGTTGAACCCCCGAGGTTCAACAAGACCAAGTGCAAGGTCCTGTTGAACCTCCCGAGGTTCAACAAGACCAAGTGCAAGGTCCTGCACCTGGGTCAGAGCAACCCCTGGTATCAGTAACAGGCTGGGGGACGAACTGATTGGGCACAGCCCTGCAGAGAAGGACTGGGGGGTGCTGGTGGATGAACAGCTGGACACAAGCCAGCAATGTGCACTTGCAGCCCAGAAGGCCAAGAAGGCATCAAAAGAAGCATAGCCAGCAGGCCGAGGGAGGTGATTCTGCCCCTCTGCATTGGTGAGACCCCACATGGAAGTAATGCATCCAGCTCTGGAGCCCTCAGCACAGGAAAGACATGGGCCTGTTGGAGTGGGTCCAGAGGAGGGCCGCAAAAATGATCAGAGGGATGGAACACCTCTCCTATGAGGAAAAGCTGAGACAGTTGGGGTTTGTTTAGCTTGGAGAAGAGAAGGCTCTGGGGAGACCTTATAGTGGCCTTTCAATACTGAAAGGGGGCTTATAAGAAAGATGGGAACAGAATTTTTTAGTAGGGCCTGTAGCGATAGGACAAGGAATAATGGTTTTAAACTAAAAGAGGGTAGATTTAGATTGGAGGTAAGGAAAAAATTCTTCACAATGAGGGTGGTGAAACACTGGAACAAGATGCCCAGAGAGGTAGCAGATGCCCCATCCCTGGAAACCTTCAAGGTCAGGTTGGACAGGGCTCTGAGCAACCTGATCTAGTTGAAGATGTTCCTGCTCATTGCAGGGGGGTTAGACTAGATGACCTTTAAAAGGTCCCTTCCAACCCAAACTATTCTATGATTCTGTGATTCCTCCCTCTCCTCAAATATTGATGCCTTTTCCCTGATCTCTGGCACAGAGTTAGCAACTCAACTGCAAATACACAGCTCTAACAACTCTTTTCAACACAAACGCTCATTTAAGGTCTATTTACCCAAAGGGCTGAAACAGATCCCAGCATATACTTGCAGATCAAAGCAAACAGCTATGTAGGCTGTGTCCAATCCAGTGAGAACAACAGTATGCCTTAAGTTCTGTCACTCACACTTAAGACCTTCATGCACCTTTTGCTGTGTTATTTGTGTCAGCTAGCCTAATCCCAAACATCCCCAACATCAAACCATGGCTAGGGACTATTCCTAGGAGGCAGGATATAGCCACCTGTTTTAGAGGCTAAGAAATCTTAGCAGGACAGCCCATACTAAACCAGATTAGCTTTCGTCAGGACCTGCACTTCCAGCTCTGAAAGGTGACAACTTTGCTAGAACAGATGTAGACAGCGTCTTAATTATCATATGCCTATTGCCCAACTTCCTGCACATGAAGACATCATTAGGAAACCACCTGTCACCCCTGTCACTCCCCTCTGCCATCCCAGCCAGACTACTTTCACTAGTTACCTACCTGGACTGCGTGCATGCTATTACTGCTCTGAAGAAACTTGCCTTCCTCCCCAGCTCTAACATCACCACAGTCCTCCAGCAAGCGCACCCTCATGCCGCGCACCAGGTTTGCCTGTAAGTACTGCACATAGCCACTGCGGTCTGCGAAGTCTGATGGCGTCAGGAAGGCATGACCCTGCTTCTTGTGGGGACCATGATTTGAAGTGAGCACAGGCATTCGGACAGCAGTAGAGGCTAAGATCTTGGGCTGGAAGATGGAGTGGGTGGTGTGAGGTCGCAGCTCCTGTTGGGGCAGCAGCTCTGGCTTGTGGCTGTGGTCCCAGCCCATCACGTGCACCAGCTCCAAGATGAGGTTTGCCATAGCCATGCTGAACTCAAACTCCTGCTTCACACGGCTCCTCTCCTCAGTGAGCAGGCTGGGCACAGCGCTGTCCTGCTGCTCCCCTCCCTGCTCCACACCACTGCTGAGCTTGTCCATGAGAGAAGTGACACACAGGTAGCGCTTCACCAGGACGAACAGCAGCTTCCCAGGGATCTGCAACAAGCACAGCTGTCAGACTCTAGCCTGCAGAGAGCCCCCAGCCCCTAGCTCTTTCCAAGCCTCAAATCCATTGTCAGGCTCCCAGACAGCTCCGGACCAGCAGGCAGCAGCTGCTCAGCCCACCCTCGTCTCCCTGCTCAGAGATAAGGCTCTCCATGTACCTCCCCACCACTCC